TGCCTGCCAAGAGCCAGGATGAGGGAGTAGAGGTTTCTTGCATTTATCCCACATGTTTACCCTGCTACACTTTCTTGCTCTCCAGCCCACAGGGAGAAAAAAGAGCCAAAAACCCACAACAAAAAAAGAAGCTGTTGTTAAAAGGAAGAAAAGTTCTAAGCTGGAGTTTGCTAAACCTTTTCACCCTCTTGGAAGGAGTCTAAAGTAGGCGTGCTTGTCCTTTGTTCTTTCTTTGTGTTTCAGCACAGCACTGCTGATTGCTGGTTCAGCTCTTACTTGACTGCATCCAACATGCAGGATGTCTGTATACTCAGGGACACTGCACTCATATGAGACCTCTGTTCTCTGTCAACCCAAGGCAACAACCCCACTCCTGAAACCTGTTTTCCTTATCCATCCACTCCTCTAAATATAACTACCAGCAATGCAGATGAGTGCACAAAGATCTCTGTAGAGTCAGTGGTGACATCCCAAGTCTGCACTAAACCTTGCTATGATGAGCTAAGTGGGGAAAATAAGGGGTTTGAGTTAAGTCCAAAGGCTGGACCAGTGGACTTTTTCCTGATTACCTTCTGGCCTTTCACATGCATGATAATTATTTCCAAGAATCCTTGCTCCATGATTTTTCCAAGGATAGAGGTATTGCTCACAATAATTTTGTAATTACATTTTGTAATTAGTACACAAGGGTGGAGGTACTATTTATTGCTGCTTCACATATCTTTCTCCTTGCGCTCCCTAAAGGTGGGCATTATATTAGGTTTTTCATTCAGCCTTTTCCCATTAGCTATGATATTCCACCCTGGCTGACAGCAGCTTCACTAACATGAACTGAAAACTTATCTGGGTTAGTGTCATCTATCCTATTCTCTTCCCTGAACAGTCCTTAAGCCTCACATTTGGTCATCCCACCTACTTCCAAAACCAAGTTGGTGAATGCAGAGATCTGGAAGCAGGCTTTGCCTCTGAAGATGCTACAAAAATCCATTGATCATTGTGGTATTTTTCTATATTGTCCAGTACCATAGTGTTTCCTCCATCTGTCAGTAGACATGCCCAACTTCTAGAATCCCTGTAGGGTCCTGTTGTACTACCTTTAATGATCCTTTCTAGTCTGAGCTGTAGGTGGAACTTGGCCACGCTCAATACCACCTCTAAGTACCCATGTTTACTACATTCTTTTCCTGCCTGTCATATTTCCCATTATTCCATGCTGCTTTGTCGTTGTTTTGTTGGTTTTGGTTTGGTTTGGTTTTTTATTTATTATTTTCCTACATGAAGTGCCCTTTTTAGTCAAGCAAGACTTCTAGTGAAATTCCCAATCTTCCTGCAGAGGGGAAGGCTTGGGATATTCAGAATGAACATGGTGAAGAAAACCTTCCCAAGGGGGTTGATGCAGTCCTGGGACAGCATACTGAGGTGCTGGGGGCACTGCCACCTTGGGAGGTTCCAAGGGTTGATCAGTGGTTCCTGGGCGGTGTGACTGACACAGCAATAAACTTGCCCCTCAGGAGCTCCAAGCCAGAGCCAGCAGAGCAGCAGGAGTGTAGTGTCCCCATGTGAAGGGACACTGCTGCAATAAGGTCATGGACAATGCCAAAAAGCCTGGAGAAGCCTGCAGGGCACTTCCAAGGAAAGAGCAGGGAGTTGCATGATTGCCTGTGCCTTACAAACCTGCTTTACACTATATTTTACTAATCAGAATTTGGCATGGTGTTTACACAGTGACCATCTGCTGTGCTGCAAGAGAGAAAGGGAGGAGCTGTGAACCTTTCCAAGGTTGTGTCCAACTCATCCAGAGCTGGCAAACCTGCTAAGCCCATGTCTGGGAGCATGCAGAAGTGCTGCTGACTGTAGGAAATCACATTAAGAGCTCACTGACCAGGTTGTTTTTTGTTTTTTTTTCCACATCCTCCAACTTTATCTCAAGAGGGAGAAAAACAGCTTAGTTAAAAAGTGCAAAACATTGGTATTTCATTCCTATATGAAAAAGAGTTTGAAAAATCATCCCTCCAGCAGCGCCCCACCTAGCAAATGCCTCAGTTTTATTTCCAAAAACACAATCTGGAACAGAAACAAAATTAAAAGTCATAGCTACTGTATCTCTTTCCCATGTGGATTTAGCAACCCCTCTAAGGGAAATGTGCTGACAAGTCTTCACAGTGAAGTGCAGCACTCATGAAGGGGGTCTGGGGTCTGAGGTCACACCACCCCAGAACAGCATGTGTTCCAGCAATGTGGGAGAAGATGGCTCTGCAGCATGTTCTCTCAATTTCCAGAAATACTGTAAGAGATACATGGGCCCAAGGAAGAGTAAGATGTGCCAGAGAAGAGACCGGGGCTGGAAGGGAAAAGACATCATTCTTCTGTTTGTGGTCCAAATTTCTTTGTCTTTCTGACTGTAGTACAACCAGATCTGATGTGTTCTTACAGAGGAGGCAGTGGTATGGTCAGCCCTGGCACTGGGGTCTTTATGAATTTAATGCATCCACTCATCAATCATCAGTGTCTGGGCATGTGCTTGGCACAAGGAAGTGAAAAGGCTGTGTAAGGACATCAATGGCACAGGTAAGGTAGGATGTGTTGATGAAACAAGTCCACAGAGGCAGCCTCAGAATGCCACAGAAACAGAATGGCTGGGGTTGAAAGGGACCTTTAAAAACTATCTAATTCTAACTTCCCCTGCCATGGGCAGGGACACCCTCCCCCAGACCAGTTTGCTCAGAGCCGCCTCCTGAGCCTGACTCAGAACACTTCTAGGACTGGGGCATCCATGTCTCTCCGGTTTCTAGAGATGTCATGTGAGACAGTGTCAAACTCTTTGCACAAGTTCAGGTAGATAACATCTGATGTTCTGCAGAATGGCCAAGTTTTGCTCATTTCAGGTGGAAAACACTGACTTTCTGCCTGTATCTCTAAAACTTGCTTTCTCATCCAGCTGCTAGAAATTTGCCTCACATATTTATCAGGCCTGGGTGTTTTTCCAAATTTAGGTCTAAGCAGGAGATCTGTGAGAGATCACAAAGCTAAGGGGATAAGTTGGATGTCTCTGAAACAATAGAAGGAAGACTACAGCTTCCACTTCAACTGAACAAATCCCTGAGTGATGATAAAGTGTGAATTCTGATCTTCACTGGCTTTGAGTAAAAGGATTGAGCAAGGGGTCCTTCCCTGTCACAATCATTCTAAATCACCATCATACCCCTAGAAAACACAATCTGCAATTGACTGTGTTTTGGTTACCTCTAATTTACAGGAGCCATGTAGTACTTCTCAGCAAGAATCCTGGATAAACAAGGTCTCAGCATACCTTGTTGATGTAACAAGGATTGCCCAGACAACAGAGAACAGGAATGGAAACTGGGATTTCTTAGAGAGATCTACTTAGAAGCCCTCCAAGTTGTGATCTCTCTGCAGTGACAATTCCTGGTGGACAAGATGCCCTCTTGATTGCAGAGGTGGAGAGGGCATTTAACATGTAAAGGGCAGCTGAATATAAGAGTCAGTATTGGCTACTGCAAGCAGCAGGGCTGTGACTGGCTGATGTGGCTCTCTGCCTGAGAGTCTACTTCTCCAATATTAGCTGCTTTGAAAATCAGCATGCCTAAACCACTGCCACTGGCCCACCTTTAAAGCAGCTAATTATAATACTGCCCAAAATCATGATTAGACACATTGACACATACACATTAAACCCATTGAGAACTGGAGCATTAGATGGGCGCAAAAAGCTATGCTCAGACACACTCACGGCACCATGCACCCGCTATTGCCAGCTCAAAAGTATTTTGAAACCAGGCAGATGATGAGAATAGCTATCCTTAGAGACGTTCAAATACCATCTGGACATGTTCTGGGTGATTGGTTCTGTGTGGCCTTGCTTGAGCAGGGGGCTTGGACCAGATGATCTCCAAAGTTCCTTTCCAACCTCAGGTACATGTGGTTGCCAGGAGAGCAGAGCTGTGTGGAGCAAAGCTACCCACAGCCCCACAGCTGTGGCACAGAGGCCCCCAGAATCACATCCTGGCACTTCTTCAAGGTGTCTGAGGTTCTAGGCAGCTCTTAGCCCTTGTCCTCCACCTGCTTTCCTGTGCAGCACTGGCAGGTATTTCCCACACCGCAGCAGGTGCCTGACCCTGACCCTGTTGCTCAGATGTGTTTCTCATTGCTCAGCTGCTGCTGCTTTTCTTTGGAATACTTAACACAGGCTTTGCCCAGCTTTTGAGGCTGCACACCTAACCCACTGCCAGCAAGTTATTTATAGTCCTGGATCCTTTGCTTCTGGTCTGTTCCAAAACTCTCAAGGCCCCTGCTGCTATCGTGCTTACATCACACATCAATAACAAGAGACACCTGGCACCACAGGCCAGTTCACACACCAGGCACTCATGAGGAGCTGGCAACATGTATAACACACCACAACAGGGTCTTGGTATGCTGAGCATCCACTGTTTCAGTGTAAAGGCTGGGACTGTTACCAGCAGCAGCAATGTCCTTCCTCCTGGAGCCCCAGGTGACAGCAGCAGATGGCAAAAAAAGCAAATCAGAAATCTCAGAGCCAAAGCTCATCTAGCAACAACACAGCAAAGCTTGCTGTGGGACCCTATGGGAAGAGGGAGTACTTACTTTGAAACTAAGCCAATTGCCTCTTATTCATAAGAATATTCAAGCTGAGAGCATCTGAGCAGTCTGTCCAGGATGAAAGCACCAAAATGCAAGCAGTCTGTGCAAGGACACTGAATACTGATGCAGAGTTAAAGGGACACTCACATCTGAGGTCTCATGATGGCTCCTGTGTTGTTACCTCAGGAAATGTGTGCTGCTTTTGAGTCTTGACTTTTGGTCCTTATTAGGAGCTGATGGTGATTGTGATCTCTTGTCTCTCTATTTTCTTCATCTCTGCTTCTCTTCTGGGAACCATTAAGAAATACTCATTGCTCTTTGTCTCTTTTTATCAGGATGTTTTACGTCTTATCTTACAAAGACTATTTTTAATGGCTGCAGTATATCCTGCTTTAGGCGGTTGAATATTTGACACCATCCTGGGGGTTGAAGTGGTCTGGAAAGCAGCTGGAACCTGTAGTCAGCTAATGCAGATGCCATCCATGGCTGCACACCCTGTGGCTGCTCCTGCCACTTGTTCCTGCAGGTGCTCCTGCACCCACATGCTCTCCATCCAATCAATGTTTTCCTTGCAGAAGAATGAAAACCAGCATTGGATTTCCATGAAGATAGAAGAAGTAAGGGTAAGGGAACAGTTGGCACCTTATACAAGTGTTGGTTTGACATTAATGATCGACAAAGAGGCAGAGGATTGCTACCACAGTCACACATGAGGCACAGTACTGTCAAATAAACTCGTTTTCTTCTATTTTTCTTCCTTAAAACAAAACAAAAACAACTCAAAAGAATAGAAATCAAGCAGTACAGGATTACTGTTTCAATCCAATAAAGGGAATGGTGTTTCTGTTATATAATCGGATTTCCTCAAAGCATTTTTTCACTTAATATCACATGATGCTTGGGTAAGACCCATGCCTTATACAAAAGAAACAAGAGTTTAAAAATGGTCTGGTGACCTTTCAAAAAGTAGCTGTTACAAAACCTTTAAGAAGTTTGCAGATGGCAGAAACATGGTTGCATGGCAAATAACGTGTCTCTGTTCCAGGAGGCTCTGGATTTAACCAAATCTTTACAGTTTGGTGAAATAAACTTTAATAAATTACAGAAATGTAACTGGAGGCAAATAATATCAGGTGTGAGATCTGCTTTGGAAAACAGTGTTGCAGAGAGATTGAAGCGTATCTGTGGGTAACACCATGAGCTCCTTGTGCTGCAGTTAATAAGGATAATGCCACCCCCAGCTGTAAGAAAGTGGGTAACACCATTAGAAACACACAGCTTTTGCTTCTGTGCACAGCCCTGGTAGGCAAAGCACTTGGTTTCTGTTTGTGTTTCTAGAGGAACAAAGACACATGTATATTCAAAGAACTGCAGAAATGAGCAAGGAGTGCTACAAAAATTAACCTTGTGCTGCACATCCAAGAGGGAAAGAGTGTCTCTGAGCCCTGTTCAGAGGTACAGCACAGCAAAAGGGAGAAGGCTGTAATATTCCCCCCTAGCCTTAAAAGTCTCTGCTGTCCTCCTCCCTCACATTGGGTATGTCTCTGGGGAGGAGGCCTTGACAACTCTGTAGGAAACTTCAATGTCTCTTGCAACAAGACTATAAGCCAGGGCTCAGGCTGCAGAGCTGGACACTGGCGGGAGTCAGGAAGAATGACTCCACTCCAACTGCATTTTATATTTTAGATACTCATAAGTGTTTCATAGGAGATGAAAGTGATGAGCAAGTTTGGAAAAGCAGTGAGTTAAAATGACCAGTGTGAACAGTATGCTCAAATGGCACAGGCTGGACAAGCAAAACAGCATGCCTCTGAGCCAAGATGGAACTGCAAATTTGAAGCTATTGCTTTGGGTAGATAATTTCACCTTAAAGGGCTGAAATTATTAATTCCTAGGGTTGTCTCAATACTCAGGGCAATTCCTTAGTTTCCATGTGCACAGTATGAGCCTCATCACTTGAGTGTGTTTGGGACAGCTAAGTGAATGCCTTGCATCCACCTGCCAAACACTCTCTGTCCCTCTGCAGTTGTCCAGCCAGTGAACCTGTTTTTTCATAGCACTTATTTTCCAAGGTACAGATGTGCACAGTCCTGGGATATTGACCTCCGCTCTGACAAATCCCTTGACACCCGTCAGTGAGAGAACAGTCCCTCTGCAAATGTCAGGTGCAAAACCCCAGTGTGGATGGATGCAGACATCTGGTTTTAGCAAACAAATTCTTCCTAAACTCCAAGCCAAGAGTAATGCAGCTTTTTCTTTGTCCTTGAGAAGAGAGAACAAGACCCTGGACCCCAGATGTTTTCCAGAAGAACACTTACACAAAGCCTTCAGCAGTCTGCCAGAGCAGGGCCACATGTCCCAGATAGACATTAAACAGAGCTGGACCCTGAGGGGTGGTGAGACAGGGAATCTTGCCAACTGAGAGCAACATAGCTCAAGACAGGAAGAAAAGCAGGTAAGCCCCCAAAATCCCTGTGACAGTGTAGTACAGCTACTTGGCTTTCCACAGAAATGCCTGAAACCTGCACGTGCTCTTACTGAAAGAGCCTTGTGATCAAAAAGCCAGAGGAAGCCCAGTGTGGATGGCTACAAAGGAGAGGAGCTTGGTTGGCTCATTTGCAGAGCTGAGAGGGAGCAGATGCTCCTCTACCACCCTGACCACTCTAGTTGTATTTCATCTTCCCTTGCATCTGCCTCCGAGCTGCCTCCCCAGCCCCACCAGCAGAGCTGATGTTAAGGCAGCAGCTACCACCTACCCTCTGGGGCAGAGGGGGTGGGCTGAAGTTTCATCCTAAACAAGCCAGGAGGCAGAAGAACTTGCACAGTTGTCAAATCAACCAACTTCTCCTTATCTCTGTTGTGATTATCTCCTCCCCCTACTGCATTCCTTGAATAGCAATACTTGCTTTGGAAATTCCTCTCTGCAACAGTTTCAGGCTGTAAATCTTTGAGGCTGCAGGAGCAGTGTGGTGGCAGAAGTTGCACTTGCCCTGGATCTGTGTTCATATCTGTACTGCTTGAGACAAGACATGCAGTCACAGGTGAGTCTGTGTGACAGGGTGCCCTGCCCATGTGGACCCATGGGGGTGCCTGAGGGAAGCAATGCCCCAGTCTGGCAGCTGCTGAGTATGTAGTTTTTGTTTTTGTTGTCCCATCACTTACAGGCCCTCTGTGATTCAGCACCTTGTTGCACAGCAGTGGTGGCACAACAAAGCAGTTAATTCCTTCCAAACCTGCTGCTCCAACTCCCAGCCTCTGCCTTGGCTTCAGGACCGTGTGAACTGAAGGAGAAACTACCTCCTATGGCCAAAGTACTGCAGCTCAGCAGAAGGAATCTGGGACTAGTGCTGCCAAGCCCTTTGGCATGTTTTGCTCTCTCTGGTGGCCACCATATGGTATTTCATGTTTTACCAACTAAAACATTCATATCTGTACTGCTTGAGACAAGACATGCAACCACAGGTGAGTCTGTGAGCATGGATGTTTCAGAGAACAGACAGCGATTAGGTGGGGGCTTCTGGCCTGTGTTTGAGTATGCTGGCAGAAAGAGTAGTCTTTGGGCTGAAAACCGCATTCTGGGAAGTCAAAAATCAAGGGAAGGAAAGGGGCTGCTGTGGCACAGTTGTATGCTTTTCAACCCTGGAAAGCTGGTTGGTGTCCTGGTCCCCTCAAGAGACAGCTGCAAACCAAGCACACAGGGAAGATCCTGACCAAAAGAGGACTCTAGGGAAAAGGGCTGTTGGCACTGAGCTAAGCAGATGTGCTCTTAACCTTAGCCTGATGTTAGCAATAGCTCTCATGACTAGAAAGCAAATCAGTATCACAGATCAGGGGCTTGTCTGACAAGGTTCTGGGGAGCAGAAGGCACAGAATGTGTTAATGCACAGGACAGCGCCATGCTGCAGCACATGCAAAACTCATCCCCACCTGTGAGATCCTGGACAGGCTGAAGGAGGGACACCCAGGTCTGTCACTATGCACGTGCAATGAGTGCACACCTCATACCAGCAAAGATGGTGCAGATGTCTACAGGCCAGACTGACTGGAGGCACTGCTGTCAGGACCCCCAAAATCTGCCTGCTACAGAGCTGTACTGCTCCCAGCAGGCTGTGGACTTCTGCTTCACCCACAGGAAAGATCCTGAAAGTAAGGAAATAAAAGAGAAAGTCCTTTGAACTGCAGACTGGCCCAAATGGGTGAGCAAAAATTGCTGGCAAACAGCTCACAGAGCACCCAAAAAGCCAGGTAGCATGGAGTTGGATCAGAGGCTGAAAACCTTTGGCCATACCCACACTCTCTCTCCCCTGCCCAAACTATTGCAGTGCTGTGGGTCCACACTGCGTATAGAGCAACATCTCTGTGTATCTTGCCCTGGGCCTACTGTACCTGGCAAAACATTGTCCTGAGAACTGTCTATGTCTCTGTTCATACATGGGGTTCTGCAAGGTCCTTGTAAATAAAAAGGCAGTGAAGACATCTGCTCTGGAGCACACGACAATGAATAAAACTGCTGGGCTACGGAGGTGCCACAGCTCCTGGGTAGTTTTAGAGGTCAAAACCCCATTATAGGAGTGTCGGTGCATAGAAGAGAACCAACACAATCCTGCATACCAAAATGCTATGGCAGAGAAAGCCTGAGTTGCAACATTTGTTTTGGCAACCTCTAAGAAATAAATTAGCTTCACTAATGCTAGTTCACTGTACACGAGATTCACAGAGATTTACAAATACATTGTGAGACAGCTGATGAGTCCTGGGAGCTGTGGCTGTATTGAGGAGAGGAGCCTGGGCTGTTCTGGACCCAAGGGCAGGTTCTGTAACTGCTTTGGATAGACATTCTCAGTGGCAGACAGGGCAAGGAGACTGTTTCCAGGTTACAGGAGTTCAAAGTCTGGACACACCTTTGGACACAGGAGGTGTGAAACCAGGCAAGGGTCAATTAGGAGGAGGTGCCGACTTCTTCACAGTGGAGAGGGACAGGGAACACACAGCCAAGAACGGCAGGGGGTTGGGGATGGACATGGGACTGGTTTTTCTACATTGTGCTTAATTTGAGCTGGTTCCTGCTAGCAATTCTGTGATGCACCCAGAGGAAGCAAATTACCTTTCTGAGAGGAGTTTCATGTTTCAAGCACAGCTTGCTTGCAGCACACCAGTGTTTACACAGCACTCACTGGTCTCAAAATAAAGCACTTTAAAGAAACACTGGGGGGTTTTCCCACATCCTTACAGTGCCATTTGTCACTGTTGGAGTTGTACAGGGGGACACAGTGAGCTGGTAATTTGAATCCATTCACGCATTCATCAGAAGAATGCCATCAGAAGAAAATACATTTTGCTGCACATGTAAGATTGAACCTTATCTTGAATGCCAGAAAGACTGACAGTGCTCAAATGAGTAGTTATGTCTTCTCCCAGTCCAGGGAAGGGGAACTGTCTCTCCCATTTCTAATTGGCTTGCTTTTGGCCATCCTGAGCAGAGACACTGAATCTTTTCTTACACCCAAACACTCCACAGTGAATGCTGAGGATATTCACCGGGTGCATACCCTGGCTAGGGGCCCAATATAGTTGGGTGCAGAATGGATAAAGTCTTGCCTTTTCAGACAGACTTTCTCCTGACTGTTCTCATTAAAAGCAGATTATCAGAGGCCAGGGCTCATGGTAAGTTGCCTGAGAGTTTTATGCCCTCTTGACTCCTATGGATGCAGAAGGCAGAGTTTGCACTGCTGGTGCTAATGATAATTTGCAGGTCCCTGTATGGCCTCAGTTGCAATGGGACATGAAGAGCTCAGAGTGGTTCTTGCTAGTCCTTCACACTGGTGACTCCTGCTCTCAAATTGCAGCAAAGACAAACATTCTGTGCCTAAGGGATAAGAGAAAACCATGAAAACCAATGCTTCAGCTCTCCTACTGATGCCTTGGGAGGCCACCTAGAAGAGAGGCTAGAGAGTGTTAAAAGAACAAAGTAGGTATTTATTAAAATACCCTTCAAAGGATGCACCTTGGGCAGTACAAGAGCCCAGCCGTGGCTACACCCGAGATGGACGACGGGTCACACGTCTTCACACTTTTATACGTTTTGGTCCATTTCCATATTGGGGCTAATTGTCCAATTACAGCTTCAGGGTATGAAGTTCCATCCTCCCAAATGGCTCTCCTCAATTCACTGTTTATACTTTTTGGGCCTGAAAATGCAATGGTGTCCTTGGTTCTCGGGCTGGAAAAGGATTATTTTGTCTACACTGTGAAGAGAACCTGCTAATGCTCTGTATGACGTTCAGAGTATATACTAATGGAGTACAGAATCTGGAAAATATGAAAGCTAAAATTTAAGGCATCACTGCCATCCATGAAGTTTGAGCCAGTGCATATCTGGACACAACATTTTGTACACTTGCACAGCCCCAGCCATCTCATGGCAAGAGCACAATCAGATATGCTTGGAAGAAGCTGAAAGAAGCTTCGTGCTAAAGACTTCATACTAAAGCACTCATCCTTCAAGTGGGCACTGGCAACATCCATTCTTCAAAAGGGATTGCCACATTTAGCTGTGAGAAAAACTGATTTGATCCTCTCTTTGATGTATTTCCTGCCCTCAGGGTAGCTCAGACCTTATACATACTACCCTTGCCTGCCTCAGTGTTGTGTTTTCGTGCGCCATGCCTGGAACAAATCTCCCAGCCACAGCAGGAGGGAGATGCTGACTCAGGTCTTCAGGCTGCTATGGAAACCATAGTCATCATGCCTGAAATGCCATCATACTCCCTTCTGCAAACCAACTCCTTAAAACCCAGCATAAAAGTCAGCTGTGGACCAAGCCCCTGCCGGGAAGGCACAGCTCCAACCCGCTGGCAGCAGCTGAAACTGCAGGGAGAGACTCACTGTGACACTGCTGCCTGAGGGAGACAGTGAGAAAACCCTGCCCTTGACACCATCTCTCCTACCAGCCCTTTGTGGGCAGGCACAGCAGGAGGGCAAACGAGGCTGGTTTCAGCTTCAAGAAGTGCTTTTTCTGTTTCAGCTCCAGCCCCACTACACACTCCCGTACTGGGTTTCCTTGCTACTTCCCCATGCTGAGTCACAGACGCCTCCCTGCCCCAAGACTCCTTCCCAGCGGGCACACAGTGCTTTGTGACCTCACTTCTCGCTGCTGTCCCTGAGTGTCCAAGGAAGAGGACGGCTGTGGGAAAGGCATGTGTTTACCATAATTTGGGCAAAGACTTGGCACAGAGAAAACTGCTGTTTGGATGCAAAAGAAAGCTGCTTCCCTGCAGAAGCGATGCAGACAAGTACCAGAGGGCTGGCTCTGGTCTTGGAGATACTACAAACATAAATTGATAAGGCTCAGAACAACTGGACCTGACATTGGAATTAGCCTGCTTTGAGCAGGGGATGTGTTAAGAGCACTCCAGACCTCCCTTCTGGTTTGTTCTTCTCACTGCCTCCTAGTATGTGCTGGCTGGTTGTCTAAGTTTCTGGAGGACATGTTCCATGGAAGATCCCTATTCCCTAAAATCAGGATTATAACTTGCACAAGACCCAGCACTCTTCCTCCCACTGCCATGACTGAAGCCAAGGAAAAAGACTTAGGGATGCTGGTTGACAAGAGGCTCAACATCACTCAGCCATGTGCCCTCACAGCCCAGAGAGCCAAACGTGTCCTGGGCTGCATCCAAAGCAGCGTGGGCAGCAGGGGAGGGAGGGGATTCTTCCCCTCTGCTCTGCTCTGGTGAGAGCCACCTGGAACCCTGCATCCAGCTCTGGGGGCCCAGCACATGAAGGACGTGGACCTGTTGAACTGACTCCAGGCCACCAAGATGATCAGAGGGATGGAACACCTCTGCTATGAGGACAGTGCAAGTGAGTTGGAGTGTTCCACCTTAAGAGGAGAAGGCTCTGAGGTGACGTTCCAGTACCTAAAGGGGCTACAAGAGAGCTGGAGGGGGACAAGAGCATACAGTGATAGGACAAGAGGAAATGGCTTTAAACTGAAAGAAGGCAGGTTCAGATTAGATATTAGGAAGAATGTATTTACTGTGACAGTGGTGAGGCACTGGTTGCCCAGAGAGGCTGTGGACACCCCAGCTCTGGAACTGTTCAGTGGACGGAGCTCTGAGCAACGAGCATAAATCGCACAAGATACTTTAACACTGCAAAGATGCAGGGTTAACAGTCCTTAGAGAGTGACTGTTCTCTCTTGGCTGCTGAAGGTACCAGCCACACCTCACCATGAGAGAGTCTCAGCATTTAGCCTGCTGCCTTCCCCAGAGAGACAGACGATCTGATGTCAGATGACATAATTTTTCACCGTTTGGGGATGTGACTAAGAAAGAGAATTAGTTCACAGCGGCTGCAAAAGTCCAGCCTGCAGGTGGATCATTAACACCTGATTGATTTAGTCTTGCCTGCCTCTGGCAAGGGGCCGGTGAATCATCTGCAAACGTGAGGGTGCAGGGAGAGAGAAAAGGACACTTAAACATCACTCCAAGGGTTGAGAGGCTGTGAAAAAGTAACCTGGACACTTCCCAAATCCAATGAAGCTCAGGTGCAGCCTTTAGGGAAGACTGAATGCACGCCACCCCTGCCCGCACTCTCGCCGCCGCTTCCCGGTGGCTTCTGGAGGTTCTGCGTCCTGCCTGAAAACATAGGAGAAGCACAGAGGCGACTGTGAAGCCCCACACGCGTTTTTCTGCTCCACTTCCAGAACGATGATAGGAAGAAAGAGGTCTGGACCCAGCAGGGTCTGGCTCTTCCCTTTGGGGTGTCTCTCGTTGGTGTGACCCAAACTGAGCCATCCCCAGGCAGCACTCTACCCCTGTTCCCCACCACAGGCCAGCTCATACATCAGACCCACGTGGGGACAGAGACCTAACACAGCCGTTCCTGCTGTCCTCCAGACCTGCTTAGCTACTACATAATGTCTCTCTGCCACCAGCATTTCTTCCTGCCACATCTCCTCAATTCCAGCCGTGCCCCTGGGTAAACCACTCTACCCCAGCTCACCAAGCTTAATTTCTCTAGGGAAGCTCACTCCTCCCGGGTCTGCTCCTTCTTAGATCTCTCAGTCCTAGGAATCCTGACCCAGGGATGCCCAAGCCGTTGGATGTGTTGAGTGTAATTAATTAGTCATGCTGATTATGCATTCCGGGTTGACTAATATCCCCCAAACCAAACACCCGTCTGTCTTCACATTTAAACACAGAAATGTTTCTCAGACCTGGTGTTAATAAAAGTTGCTGATTTGCATTTGGGAGAACAAGAGGAAGACTGAAGAGGAGAAAAGGGGAGATGATTCTTGTATGAGCAAATCTTTCTGTCAAAAAATGTCTGGTTAGCTCTTGAATCCTCTTGTATCTGTGTGCAGAGGGGAGACTTATGTTGCTGATGCTCTGCTGTATTAGCTGTTGATCCAAAATTTGTGCCTGGACCTGATTAAACTGAAATCTTATAGCTTCTCCAAAGTATTCCATCTATGGTAATGTGAACACACTAGACAAAAGAGTCCAATGAAGAAAAACCTTCACCATTCTGGCATTTTTGGGCTAAGAATAATTACCCACAGAAAAAGCTTCAGACCAAGGATCTTATTACAATACCGAAGAACCCTAGTCTTCCATCCCTTCACTAGGCTTGCTTGTAAGTGAGAATATACACAAAAACCGGGACAAAGGGATAAATTTAATTACTATGTTTGGGGAATTTTTGTTGGAAAAATAAAACAGTAAGGAGTTCCTTTGTTAGCAAAGAAACTGCTGCTTCTTTTGTGAGTAGCTTCCATGTGGTCTTTAGTTGCACATGAGTAAGTGATTATCCTGTTCCAGTAACATCCAGGAAACACTGAAAAAACCCAAGACATAATGCCATTGCAATGTCTTAACAAATCAAATTTCTAACCCCTGCAGTCAGAGTTACAATATTTCTGGGACTACAACAGAAAATAAGGGCAGAGCTATAAAGATCCCCCTTCAGGGGACATAAGCTGTGTTTAATTCTGCTAGTGTTTAACGCCATGGCTGCTGCTGCACCAGTAGCTTAGGGCGGAGACTGTTCCAGCCATTTCAGCAAACCCTGCTTCATGCAACATGAGATGGTATGATAGTAAGAAACCCACACAGCAGGAACCACAGTGCTATTGGAAAGAACAACACTGGAAACATATCATGGCCAAGGACCCCAGGCCTTCAGAGAAAATGCCACCTAGCAACAGCAAAACATAAGAACAAGCTGAGGGACAGCAGACAGTGCCAAAAATCTGCCATTTTGACTGAGAGAAGAATAGGCTGTGTTGCAAGACTTGACCTAACCTTTACCTCACCAGCATACTGTGTGGTGAAGTGATGGCCCTGGGAGGAGGCAAAAAGGACAGTGTGGCTGGTACCTTGCACGCTAGCACAGCTCACACAGCTACCCCATCCAGGCAATGAGTTATTTAGGCTATGCCAGCAGGCTGTGTATTGTTCATTCCAGTGCCTAATGTACAGCAAGACATCTTGCCTGCTGTTTTTCTGCTAGTGTGCCTGCACACTTCAGTCTCCCTGCTTAAACACTTAAGTTCCCACTGGTCTAACTACCTGGAACTGCAGCAGTTTTGCAGAGGGCTATTGGAAGAAAGTTGAACTTGGCCAGCATCATTATCCCTTCTCCTCAGTGTGATCTATCATCCTGAATAGCTTTTTGGAGTCAGAGCTATGCAAGAGTTTCCAACACCCCTCCACTGGGCTGGCTGTGGTCCTCCTTTGTACAGCTTAGTAAGCAGTTTGCATTATACACAATGAGAATTACTTTTGGCCTATGTTCAAGCTCTTTTCACAGTTACCTCCAAGTACTATCCACCAGTCACTTCTCAGTCTGAACCAATGCTCAGGGTTATTGCTCCCGAGCCCCTGTGCACCAGATGCCACTGACAATTCTGCTTGCTGAACTGTCTAAAAGTCCTGGTGGTCCAGTCCTCCCATTTAGCAACATCCCTCTGGACCAAGGCTCTGCCTTTCACCATGTCAGCCTCTCCCTCATAATGATTACAAAAAAATACTTCCACTGAAAGCAATAAATATAAAAATATGCTATGAACAAAATGAGTACAAAACAGGAGCCAAAGTTTTCTTGAGGTTCATACCTGTAGATGCCAGTAACCATCTGGGATCTTTATTGGATCCTCTGTTAAATCCATGGCCTTTGTGCGTTGAGTGATGCTATGACTTTGCCAACAAGCACAAAAAGCCCCAGGTGATCAGTGGACTGTTACCAGGTGGCAACCTGTCCTTTTGGTAAAGCTCTTCCGGACTTGCAATTAAAGAAAAACCTTCAAAAAAAGTACAACCTTATCACCCCAACAGTAGTCCAGCTATGGCAAATTTGTTCTCAGTAAGTTCTCGTTTAGAGGAAAATAAATAAAACCTAAGTACACCTACCATTACAGCAGAATCCTGTGAAAGTTTAGGTTGGAAGGGAACCTCTGGAGATGTGCAGCTCCAAAGCTGTGCTCATAGCAAGGACAGCTTCAAGGGGCTTGCAGAGCCAAGCTGGGAAGTCTTAAAGGTCTCCAGTAGGTCTTCTTTCTTTGTAGTGCAAACATCAGACTCACAGCCAACACTTACTGCATGGTGTGCCTCCTCAGACACCCTCAGCATAGGCAGGCATTGTGGGTGTTCTTACTGCCATTGCTGCAAGCACAGGAATCCACCACCAAAGCTGCCACAACTTGCATAAGCAAAGGTACACTGCACCAGGTGGGGTAGAGGGTCTCCACCTCCGGGGAGTGGTTCCTGGACATGGCTGCACAAAGCCACAGCTGTCCTGACATCATTCTGGGAAGAGACCTGTCATACACCAGGGCAGGAGATCTTCAGAAGGCCCTGCTGGTTTCTGTGCTGCTGCGTCTCATGCGACCTTACATGTCACCCTGGGCTCAGCTGCAGCTGATGGACAATCTGAGCAGGTGAGAGCAGGAGGAGTTGTGTGCATACAGAGGTGCACCAGGGGTGCCCCGGGTGTTCACCTCCACTACCTCAGGGACATTTCCAGCCCGTCACCTCTGAACTGAGCTGTTTCAGATTACTCATCCCCGCTTTGAATGGAGGGGTATGAACTGGAGCCCCCAGACGCCGCACTCATGACGAGCACTGCTGGGGATCTGAAACCAGTCAGGTGAGACAAATTGGTCATAAAAGCAGTGGTGAAGGTGCTTTACAAAGTTACTCAATGAAGCGTAAAACACGGTCTGTGCTACACAATTGAGATTAAATCACTAGATATTGCCTACAGCTTCTCAGGTTGCACAGATAAAAGAAAATCCTACCTAAGTGCGAATGCCTATAAAGTTTGTCTTTGTTCTGAGATATGTGCAAACTGTGAGAGCAGGAGCTCTCACACACAGCTGTGTGTTCCTACATTGGCTTAGAAGGGATTCTGCGGGCAACTGTTTTGTTTTTTCTGCAAATAGCTGGCTTTCCTCCCTTTTCTAGGACGAGCTGGGCTTCCACCGCTCGGCTTGAGGTTCTGACTATGAAAACAGTAAGAAGAGGGTGCCAGCAGATATTTCCAAGACTCTCAAACGTTTGACTTTAGTCCTTTGTGAAGTATATGTGTGTGTGTGCTTTCCAGTGACAGGGACAGAATACTCAGGGATCTCATCCAGCCACCCTGCTGCA